CGGCATTAAACATAGATGCTAATGGCTTATTTGCTATTTATAATTTCTTGTAATTGGCTTTTTAAAACCTAAATATAAGTTACGTACAAGTCAATAAACATCTTCAGTATTAACGTCGTTAAATATAAATAAAAAGCCACATTAATGATTTATCGACGGGTTAAGTATAGAGATGATTTTATTATTTTTATTGATAGCTCAAAATTTCAGTAGTAATTTTTTTTAGCGAGAGATGTATGGATTCACTATTATCATAAAGTTTCATCAAACCAGTTTTTTTTTTTTTTTTTTTTTTTTTTTTTAGAGGGAGCCCAGGGTTTTTTTTTAGCGGGAGCACTAGGGTTTCGCATTTTGAATTTAGGTTTCGTCATTCTGGGGCTTAGGTTTCGTCTTTCGCCACCAAGCAAAAAAGGTTTCGTCTAACAACTATAGTCGATACAATGAGTGATCTGTGTAATGGAAAATGAAATCATATCTATATTTGGACAGTTTCTCCTGTTGTTTTAACAGGCCAAATTTAACATTTCCCAGTATACAATCCTAATGGATCCCACCGCCTACTCTTATTTAAGACTGCCGTCCTGGCAGGCCACAAAAATCATGCATCGCTCTAAAGCGGGTAGGGTGGGAGGGATCGATAGCCAGAACAAAAAGGTACATTATTTTTCAATTACTTACTAAATATACTACGATCCAATTACCTCATAATTAAACGGTTACTTCACTAAGACTAATTACTAACCATACTTTCATTACCTGATTAACTCATAATTACTCAACAGATCGATCGAACATGTGATCGTAACCGGATGTTCAATCTGATGTCACATGATTCGATACAAAAGCTTCCTCGATACTTATGTATCGAGCGGCTATTAATTCATTTAGGGTCAGCAAGGCTTTCATAAGGTCGGTGAGCTATTTCACAATTTTGGAATTCGGATACGATCATTATGATCACATTTTAAACCCAGAATAAAATCTTACATCATACTACATACTGACATATGTCGTAATTTTATGTCTTTTCGGTTACTCGCATAACAAATGTCGTAATTTTCCCACTTAGATCATGTTTCAGATCACATTTTTCGGATCTGTTCCAATCAAAAACGTTAAAACCTACCAACCCAGAATTAAATGATATAGATTAGATTCAGCACGTAACAAGATCGTGATCAGGACATTATTTAATATGATTGATTTACTTTAGTTTGGAAGGTCAACGGGTTAGGTAACATAAGCACGAGTCAAAGTAATTAATTTTATCGCACAACGACAATTAAGAGTCAAATAGTTTAATTGCAATACGCATATATATGACTTTTTAAAACTATGGTAACTCACCCGGATAGTCCATATGCTTATCCGTTATTCAAATCTGCTAACAAGTTGTTTATTGACTATCGTATCCATTTCGATCAAATTAAGGCCAGACCAAATTGATTTTTTGCTTAACATAAATGAGATGTCTTGTAAGAGGGGCGGAGTTAGTGACGGGCAAAATACGCATTGGCTCATTTCTAGGTAGGGTATTAAAAAAAATATTAGGAAACATTAATGCTGCAATTTTATTTGCTAATTTAAGATTTAATGGCCTGTATTACATTAATATTATGTCTAATAATTCCTATATTTTTGAAAAATTGAAGGAAGTAGTTAGGTGTTCTGTGATTTCTTTTTGGTTTATTGGTTCTCATTAATTAAACGAGTTTCAAGAAAGATAGAAAAGGACTCTCTTGATTGTTTAATATAGGAGCAATGGTTTTTTATTTAGCTCCGGTAAAGCTTAAATTGTTCTGGAAAATTAGTTCTGGAAAGGCGAAAAAAGTCAGTATCTAAAATAGCAACATCCCTTGGTTATTTATTTAATTAATAATTGTTGTTAGAGGTTTATTATTTGACATATTTGTTATGTTTATCATTTCCATTTTTCAAAAAAAAATTCAAAAACTCTTGGCTTTTCGGAGTAGATCGGAAACCATGTGACTGCGCCTTCGATTGTTGGCTACGCTGTGCTTTTATAATTTATCAGTGGCAAGGTCAATATGTAGAATATATTAATAATTTAAATGTATTGTAACATATTGATAAATAAATTTTTTATTCAATGAAGCTTTTTTTTCTACATATTGAAAATTAGTAAAATTTCTTTAAAACTGTGGATTCTATTATCTTTGCTGAATTTGAAAATTAAGTAGTAAGTTTGTTGCTAATATATAACAAATGTACAGTAATAATAAAATAATTGTATAAAAATGTAAATCAAAAAATTAACAGTAGTAGGCGTATTGTTAATATATAATAAAATGTAAAGAAAATTGCTACTACCAAGTAACTTAATAGTTGCTAATTTGCAAATTTCAGTAAAGATGTCATACATATCATGCATCTTTTTTTTGAAATTTATTTTGATACACAGTAATGAATTTCTAATTTGTAGGTTGTTTATGGATAATTCTGATATCTAAATTTTCGCAAATAATGGATGTTGAATTCCTGATTTTAAGAGGTGCATTCATATCTACAAGTTCAATGTCGACCTTTCTATAAAGTAAAAGCCAATAATAATTTTATTTGAAGCATTGCAACATTTTGACCTACACATACTCTTAAACCTCCACCAAACATTGAAAATGAAAATTTATGATTTTTAATTTCTTGAGGTTCATAAAATCTTTACGGAATAAACTTTTCAGGATCTTTCCAATAAAGAGGGTTATTATTAATACCTCGAACATACATTATGAATAAAATGTCTGTAGTTGATGGCCAAGGATATCCTGCTATTTCATCAGCATGATTAGTATATCTTGACACAAGAGGAACAGCAGGCCTTATTCCTGACGTTTCTTTAATAATTGCTTCACAATATCTTAACTTGTCAAGGTCATCCAGAGTTATTGGTCTAGTTAGATTGTCTTTGAAAACTGTTTTTATCTCATCTAGTAATTTCATTTTAACATTTAGATTCTTTGAAATGTAATATAATACAAGACAGAAAGTATTCGAGATCTAAAA